TTAACTGTCAAAATAATAACTTTTTGTGTGTCAATTATTTTTCTAGAAGCTCATAGAACATCCTACTGTCAATGTCAATTTTGACAGCTGTCTCAAATTGTTTAATTTTTTCTATAGAAATTACACAAACAAAAGGCTCCATAAACGTTAAATCATCTCTAACTGTCAAAATAATGTATTTTGAAAGATAAACTCATTGGATTGGATGTTCAATAATCAAACAGCTGTCAAAATTGCCTAATGCAAAATCGACGATTTTTTTTCTATGAAAATGTCACAAATATTAAAGTTTCATAAATATCAATTTGTTTGTAGCTGTCAAAATAATAACTCTTGACAGGTATCAATTATTTTAGAACATTTTACCATTAATGTCGATTTTGACAACTGTCAAAAATTGATCATTTTAATAAGAATGACGATTTTATTTCCATGAAAATCACACAAGTTGACAATAAATCGTCCCTAATTGTCATAATAATGACATTTAACGAGTGTTATTCTAGAATTGCGCTTTGACATGTGTCACTTTGATACTGCAATTATACATATTTCGCAAGCAAAGAAAAAATAAACAATGTTTCTACCTTTTTCTTCCATATACTGATAGAAAAGGATCAAAATAGACTTTGTTATTGTTTCGATTCAGAAAGAAATTAGCTTTGGCCTTTTTCTATGCAAGTTTTCAGGTCTTCTTATAGGAACGGTTTATCTAGTTTAGCTAATGATAACTACTAGTTAACTGACAGCTAAACTAAGTAACTGTTCGCTAATACACCGGTCCTTACCAATTTGATTTATAATTTAGAATATCACAGCAAGACATACATTTTTTGAATTCCAGACTCTTGAATTTTTCTTATTTCTTCAATCCTTCATGCATATCACCAGGATTTTTGGATTCGGAGTATCCGATTGATTTCAAACTTTCAGGATTTATTCATCAAACAAGGCAAATTTGGAGTGAATCTGAAGCTCAGGAATAAAATTATGAGGATTTTTCCAACTTAATACCAGAAAAAGTTGGAAAATTCACGTTAAATTACCATTGAAAAATCCTGAAAAATATTTCGGAGTATCAGATCGATTTCAAACTTTCAGAATTAATAAACCAGAATGTTTTCATCAAACAAGGCAAATTTCAAGTCAATATGAAGCTTGGAAATAGAAATATGAGATTTTTTCCAACTTAATACCAGAAAAACTTGGAAAATTCAGGTTAAATCACCTTTAAAAATCCTGAAAAATACTTCAGAGTATTAGATCGATTTCAAACTTTCAGGATTTATTAACCAGCATGTTTTCAACAAACATTGCAAATTTGAAGTGGATTTGAAGCCTAGAAATTGAATTATGAGGTCTTTTGCAATCTTAATACCAGAAAAACTTGGAAAATTCACGATAAATCATCTTTGAAAAATCCTGAAAAATACTTCCGAGTACCATATCAATTTCAATTTCTCAGAATCTATTACCCAGCATGTTTTCAACGAACAAGGCAAATTTGAAGTCGATCTGAAGCGCAGAAATTGAATTATGGGGTCTTTTCCAGCCTAATACCAGAAAAAGTTGGAAAATTCACATTAAATCATCTTTGAAAATTCCTGAAAAATACTCCCGAGTATCAGATCGATTTCAAACTTTCAGGATATATTAACCAGCATGTTTTCATCAAACAAGACAAATTTGAAGTTGATCTGAAGCCTAGAAATTGAATTATGAGGTCTTTTCCAACCAATACCAGAAAAACTTGGAAAATTCAGGTTAAATCATCTTTGAAAAATCCTGAAAAATACTTCCGAGTATCAAATCGATTTAAAACTTTCAGGATTTATTAACCAGCATATTTTCAACAAACAGTGCAAATTTGAAGTTGATCTGAAGCCTAGAAATTAAATTATGAGGTCTTTTCCAACATAATACCAGAAAAACTTGGAAAATTCACATTAAATCATCTTTGAAAATTCCTGAAAAATACTCCCGAGTATCAGATCGATTTCAAACTTTCAGGATATATTTACCAGCATGTTTTCATCAAACAAGACAAATTTGAAGTTGATCTGAAGCCTAGAAATTGAATTATGAGGTCTTTTCCAACCAATACCAGAAAAACTTGGAAAATTCAGGTTAAATCATCTTTGAAAAATCCTGAAAAATACTTCCGAGTATCAAATCGATTTCAAATTTTCAGGATTTATTAACCAGCATGTTTTCAACAAACATTGCAAATTTGAAGTTGACCTGAAGCGCAGAAATTAAATTATGGCGTCTTTTCCAAGCTAATACCAGAAAAAGTTGGAAAATTCACGTTAAATCATCTTTGAGAAATTCTGAAAAATACTTCCAAGTACCAGATCGATTTCAAACTTTCAGGATTTATTAACCAGCATGTTTTCAACAAACAATGCAAACTTGAAGTTAATCTGAAGCCTAGAAATTGAATTATGCGAGGTCTTTTCCAACCTAATACCAGAAAAACTTGGAAAATTCACAATAAATCATCTCTGAAAAATCCTGAAAAATACTTCCGAGTATCAGATCGATTTCAAACTTTCAGGATTTATTAACCAGCATGTTTTCAACAAGCAATGCAAGTTTGAAGTGGATTTGAAGCCTAGAAATTGAATTATGAGGTCTTTTCCAACCTAATACCAGAAAAACTTGGAAAATTAACGATAAATCATCTTTGAAAAATCCTGAAAAATACTTCCGGGTATCAGATCAATTTCAAACTTTCAGGATTTATTAACCAGCATGTTTTCAACAAAGAATGCAAATTTGAAGTTGATCTGAAGCCTAGAAATTGAATTATGAGGTCCTTTCCAACCTAATACCACAAAAATTTGGAAAATTCACATTGATCTACTTTGAAAAATCCTGAAAAATACTTCGGAATATCAGATCGATTTCAAGCTTTCAGGATTTATTAACTAAAATGTTTTTAACAAACAATGCAAATTTGAAATTGATCTGAAGCCTAGAAATTGAATTATGAGGTCTTTTCCAACCTAATACCAGAAAAACTTGGAAAATTCACGTTAAATCATATTTGAAAAATCCTGAAAAATACTTCTGAGTATCACATCGATTTCAAATTTTCAGGATTTATTAACCAGCATGTTTTCAACAAACAATGCAAATTTGAAGTTGATTTGAAGACTAGAAATTGAATTATGAGGTCTTTTCCAACCTAATACCAGAAAAACTTGGAAAATTAACGATAAATCATCTTTGAAAAATCCTGAAAAATACTTCCGGGTATCAGATCAATTTCAAACTTTCAGGATTTATTAACCAGCATGTTTTCAACAAAGAATGCAAATTTGAAGTTGATCTGAAGCCTAGAAATTGAATTATGAGGTCCTTTCCAACCTAATACCACAAAAATTTGGAAAATTCACATTGATCTACTTTGAAAAATCCTGAAAAATACTTCGGAATATCAGATCGATTTCAAGCTTTCAGGATTTATTAACTAAAATGTTTTTAACAAACAATGCAAATTTGAAATTGATCTGAAGCCTAGAAATTGAATTATGAGGTCTTTTCCAACCTAATACCAGAAAAACTTGGAAAATTCACGTTAAATCATTTTTGAAAAATCCTAACAAATACTTCTGAGTATCAAATCGATTTCAAATTTTCAGGATTTATTAACCAGCATGTTTTCAACAAACAAGGTAAATCTCAAGTGAATCTGAGGCTTGGAAATAAAATTATCAAGTTTTTTCCAACTTAGGGAATCCCATATGTTTGTACACTTTAATTTCAAGGTAGTTTACCCAGTTAAAACAACTCTCGCCCTACGGGCTCGTGCACTTGATTCCTGATATTTCTACTGATGAGAGTATGCAATAATAAGAAAAAAATAGGAGACAATCATACTCGAGTGATCGCCTATGATAATAATTGTCACGGTTCAAATTTTGATTAGTATTTTTAAATTCTGACGTCATCTTAGTTCTGTTGGTGTTTGTTTTGTATAAAATATGATGACATAAGTATCAAATAAACCTGAACAAGATAAAGTGAAGATTTTGTTAATAACAAGTTGAAGGTACTCAATTTTATCAAAATATTGAAGTACCTATTAACTAAAAGCAGTACTTTATAAGAACATGCAATGAAGTACCCAACTTAGGCATTTTTTGATTTTCAAACACAGTTTGATAATTATAACTCCCAAAACGTTCATACATTTCACTAGCAAAATTTCAATTTCCCACAGAGAGAAGCTAAACCGATAAACGTCACCGCAATTTTCAAAGTTATCGGCTCTAAACTTTCAATAAATGAGGGTTATATATTCCAATCTCTCTCTATCACCATTATGTTTCCTACTACCCCCAAAAACGACTATCTGGGGAGTTATTCTTTACGACTTTAAACCCTCTAACAATAACTGATTTTCTGTAATGTGTGAACTGTCTCCGTTTATATAATATAAAAATTGTGAATAATTATTATCGACCTTCTCACGTATATAACGGCGTTTTAAAGAAAAAAGTGCAAGTCGTTTTGGGACATGCTCATTAATAATGCAAACTTAAGGCTGAAAAGTGGAAGTTGAACTGTCAAGAAGAATAATTTGTTAACTTTCGATTTTTGAATCTTTATTGGTTTTCATAGTCACATCAAGTAAAATAAAATTCTTTTTTTTGAACAAAGTATATATATATAACCGGAATTTTTCTGTCAGGTAGTTTTTTTACGCAAGTGCACCCTTTACCAATTCAAAAGTATTATTGACCCCCAAAAAGTCAATGTCGCTATACCAATTATTATTACCAATCAATATAACAATTAGATTCGGGTACCTACCTACGTATAACGGCCTTGGTACACAAAAATCTTATTGGGTAAAGTTCGATTCACTTTCTAATTATTTATTCTTCTGCACAAATTTCAAATCAGCCTTGTATTAGTTTTAAAATGGCAATATGGTATTTTTTCAAAGGAGAAGCAAAGAATATTATGTAATAAAGCTAAAAATTACTTACCTGTAACCCTACCTTATCCTAGCCAGACGACATTTTGTACATACCTGCAACAAAAAAAAAACAAATTAGCCACAAATAAAATTAACATACAAAACACTAAAACGAAATTAACAATTCGACCACGAGCCAGAAATTTACATATACTGAAAACCTCCGGGCCGGGAATACGAAATGAATTGTATTTGTTTCTCTGCTGGATGGAAATAATTAATGGACAATTCAGTTTTTGAGTGGCAAATTGCATCATTCATAGAGTAGAGAGGTAATTTTATTTGGATTTTGTGTAAGTTTGACCATTTTAATATCATTAACGATCAACATCTGTCCCGAACTGTTTTCGTCAAAATCGAATCGAACATTTCAACATTCCTTTGTCTCTAAGGGTTATTTCCTGTCAAACTTTTGAAAGGGGGCCAGGTGATGGCGATACGACAGAAGGCCATCAAAAGTTTTGCAAATTCACTATAACATGCTTCAAACCTTCCTTTCACTCCTCACTAAATTGCAAATTGATACTTGAAACAGTTTATGAGTAAGAAAATCATTTACATCCTTGTGACTAAATTATTGAAAAATTTCCTTCCTCACCAAACTATTTTAGCGAAAGGTAAGCCGCAGGTCAGTTTTTGTACACCAGATTGCGGTTTTAGGATTGGAAAAGACCTCATAATTCAATTTCTGCGCTTGGAAAATTCACGTTAAATCATCTTTGAAAAATCCTGAAAAATACTTCAGAGTATCAGATCGATTTCAAATTTTCAGGATTCATTAACCAGCATGTTTTCATGAAACAAGACAAATTTGAACTCGATCTGAATCGCAGAAATTGAATTATGAGGTCTTTTCCAACCTGAGACCAGAAAAAGTTGGAAAATTCACGTTAAATTACCTTTGAAAAATCCTGAAAAATACTTCCGAGTATCAGATCGATTTCAAACTTTCAGGATCTATCAACCAGCCTGTTTTCATCAAATAAGGTAAATCTGAAGTCGATCTGAAGCGCAGAAATTGAATTATGGGGTTTTTTCCAACCTGAGACCAGAAAAAGTTGGAAAATTCACGTTAAATTACCTTTGAAAAATCCTGAAAAATACTTCCGAGTATCAGATCGATTTCAAACTTTCAGGATTTATCAACCAGCCTGTTTTCATCAAATAAGGTAAATCTGAAGTCGATCTGAAGCGCAGAAATTGAATTATGGGGTTTTTTCCAACCTGAGACCAGAAAAAGTTGGAAAATTCACGTTAAATTACCTTTGAAAAATCCTGAAAAATACTTCCGAGTATCAGATCGATTTCAAACTTTCAGGATTTATTAACCAGCATGTTTTCAACAAACATTGCAAATTTGAAGTTGATCTGAAGCTTAGAAATTGAATTATGAAGTCTTTTCCAAGCTAATACCAGAAAAACTTGGAATATTCACGTTAAATCATCTTTGAAAAATCCTGAAAAATACTTCAGAGTATCAGATCGATTTCAAACTTTCAGGATTTATTAGCCAGCATGTTTTCAACAAACAATGCAAATTTGAAGTTGATCTGAAGCTTAGAAATTGAATTATGAAGTCTTTTCCAAGCTAATACCAGAAAAACTTGGAAAATTCACGTTAAATCATCTTTGAAAAATCCTGAAAAATACTTCAGAGTATCAGATCGATTTCAAACTTTCAGGATTTATTAACCAGCATGTTTTCAACAAACAATGCAAATTTGAAGTTGATCTGAAGCTTAGAAATTGAATTATGAAGTCTTTTCCAAGCTAATACCAGAAAAACTTGGAAAATTCACGTTAAATCATCTTTGAAAAATCCTGAAAAATACTTCAGAGTATCAGATCGATTTCAAACTTTCAGGATTTATTAGCCAGCATGTTTTCAACAAACAATACAAATTTGAAGTTGATCTGAAGCCTAGAAATTGAATTATGAGGTCTTTTCCAAGCTAATATCAGAAAAACTTGGAAAATTCACGTTAAATCATCTTTGAAAAATCCTGAAAAATACTTCCGAGTATCAGATCGATTTCAAACTTTCAGGATTTATTAGCCAGCATGTTTTCAACAAACAGTGCAAATTTGAAGTTGATCTGAAGCCTAGAAATTGAATTATGAGGTCTTTTCCAACCTAATATCAGAAAAAATTGGAAAATTCACGTTAATTTACCTTTGAAAAATCCTGAAAAATACTTCGGAGTATTAGATCGACTTCAAATATGCCTTGTTTGATGAAAACATGCTCGTTAATGAATCCTGAAAGTTTTAAATCGATCTGATACTCTGAGGTATTTTTCAGGATTTTTCAAAGATGATATAACGTGAATTTTCCAACTTTTTCTGTTATTAGATTGGAAAAGAACTCATAATTCAATTTCTGTGCTTCAGATCGACTTCAAATTTGCCTTGTTTGATGAAAACATGCTGGTTAATAAATCCTGGAAGTTTGGAATCGATCTGATACTCAGAAGTATTTTTCAGGATTTTTTAAATATAAATTAACGTGAATTTTCCAACTTTTTCTGGTCTTAGGTTAGAAAAGACCTCATAATTCAATTTCTAGGCTTCAGATCAACTTCAAATTTGCATTGTTTGTTGAAAACATGCTAGTTAATAAATCCTGAAAGTTTGAAATCGATCTGATACTCAGAAGTATTTTTCAGGATTTTTTAAAGATAAATTAACGTGAATTTTCCAACTTTTTCTGGTATTAGGTTGGAAAAGACCTCATAATTCAATTTCTAAGCTTCAGATCAGCTTCAAATTTGCACTGTTTGTTGAAAACATGCTGGTTAATAAATCCTGAAAGTTTGAAATCGATCTGATACTCCGAAACCAAAAATCCTGGTGATATGCATGAAGAATTGAAGAAATAAGAAAAATTCAAGAGTCTGGAATTCAAAAAATGTATGTCTTGCTGTGATATTCTAAATTATAAATCAAATTGGTAAGGACCGGTTTATCAGCGAACAGTTATTTAGTTTAGCTGTCAGTTAACTAGTAGTTATCATTAGATAACCGTCCACCGATAAACCGCTCCTATAAGAAGACCCGAAAACTTGCATAGAAAATGACCAAAGCTAATTTCTTTCTGAATCGAAACAATTACAAAGTCTATTTTGATCCTTTTCTATCAGTATATGGAAGAAAAAGGTAGAAACATTGTTTATTTTTTCTTTGCCTGCGAAATATGTATATGCTTATTTAAATTGCAGTATCAAAGTGACAGTAGTGACACATGTCAAAGTGCAATTCTAGAATGACACTCATTAAATGTTTTTATTTTGACAATTTATTGTCAGCTTGTGTGATTTTCATGGAAATAGAATCGTCATTCTTATTAAAATGATCAATTTTTGACAGTTGTCAAAATCGACATTAATGGTAAAATGTTCTGAAATAATTGATACCTGTCGAGAGTTATTATTTTGACAGCTACAATAAATTGATATCTATGACACTTAAATATTTGTGACATTTTCATAGAAATAAAATCGTCGATTTTGCATTAGGCAAATTTGACAGCTGGTATAATGAAATTTGATTATTGAACATCCAATGAGTTTATCTTTCAAAATACATTATTTTGACAGTTAGAGATTATTTAACGTTTATGGAGCCTTTCGTTTGTGTAATTTCTATAGAAAAAATTGAACAATTTGAGACAGCTGTCAAAATTGACATTGACACTAGGATGTTCAATGAGCTTCTAGAAAAATAATTGACACACAAAAAGTTATTATTTTGACAGTTAAAGACGATTTCATGATACTTGTGAGATTTTGATAGGAATAAAATTGTCGCTTTTAAATTCGGAAATTTTTGACATCTGTCAAAAAACATTATTTTGACAGTTGGAGGCGATTTCAAGTCTATAGAGCCACAAAATTCTTGTAATTTTTGTAAAGGAAATTAAGCAATTTGGGTCAAAGTCGACTTTGGCAGTAGGATGTTCAACGAGTTTCTGAAATAATTGACACTTGTCAAATGTTATTATTTTGACAGAAACGCTTTGATATCTATGAAGCTTGAATGTTTTTAATACTTTTATGTTGAAATAAGCAATTTTTGACAGCTGTGATAATTGAATTTAGAAGTCGGATAACAAATGAATGTATGAAAAAATTCGCACCTGTCAAAATACATTATTTTGGCAGTTAGAGGTGATTTTAAGTCAATGGAGCCCCAAAAATTCTTGTAAGTTTTATGAAGAAAATCAGGCATTTTGAGGCAATTGTCAAAGTCGACATTGACAGTAGGATGTTCAATGAGCTTCTGAAAAAATTGACATCTGTCAAATGTTATTATTTTGACAGTTTGATATTTATGAAATTTTAATATTTTTGATATTTTCTTATAGAACTAAAATCGTCACTTTCAAGATATGTAATTTTTGACAGCTTTGATAGTTGAGTGACTGATGAGTTGATGAAAAAATTGGCACCTGTCGAAATACATTATTTTGACAGTTAGAGGCAACTTAACATCTATGGAGCGTTAAAATTCTTGTAATTTTTGAAAAGTAAATTAAGCAATTTGAGGCAGGTGTCAAAGTCGATTTTTCTAAGCTTCAAATTTCCATTGTTTAATGGAAACATCCTGGTTAATAAATGCTGAAAGTTTGAAATCGATCTGATATTTCCAAGTATTTTTCAGGATTTTTCAAAGATGATTTAACGTAAATTTTCCAAGTTTTTCTGATATTAGGTTGGAAAAGACCTCATAATTCAATTTCTAGGCTTCAGATCAACTTCAAATTTGCATGGTTTGTTGAAAACATGCTGGTTAATAAATCCTGAAAGTTTGAAATCGATCTGATACTCTGAAGTATTTTTCAGGATTTTTCAAAGATGATTTAACGTGAATTTTCCAAGTTTTTCTGATATTAGGTTGGAAATGACCTCATAATTGAATTTCTAGGCTTCAGATCAACTTCAAATCTGCATTGTTTGTTGAAAACATGCTGGTTAATGAATCCTGAAAGTTTGAAATCGATCTGATACTCGGAAGTATTTTTCAGGATTTTTCAAAGGTAAATTAACGTGAATTTT